ATATGTATTTAGAGCATTGATACATGCAGGCAGTGCTACGACTGAGATGGAGCACTTGGAGGTCTACGCTTCAGGGTCCAATGACTAAGGGCGAGTGGTGTGTTGCTGCCGTCCTCTCGCTGCCATGACCTTGGCCTTCACATCCTTGAATGCCCCGAAGCTTGCGTAGATTGTTCCCATGGAAACCTTGCGGAGCTAGCTGCGGGAAATGGTTAAGCTAGCCTGGCCGAGAACGACTCGAAGCAAAACACAACTACAGTAACAAAATCCACCAGCTTCCAGCCGAACGAAAGTCTAAGCAACGATAAGTGCAACTACAGCTGTAAGTATATTTTGACCCCAGCTCTCGATGAGTCCGCAGCACAAGATAATTGAAGTGCTGCCTGAGAAGCACGCACGTGGTGCGGGATTTGGTCTTCCAAACCCAACTCCCGTACACCGGCAAGCAAGATGAGCAAGCTCACCGCACGCTTCAGCCCTTGATGTAAGCAATGGAAAAGGGTCTGAGCAGGGCGGATCCTGGCTGCAAGGCTGGAAGCTCCCTTCGCGGTTCATCGAGGTACTCATCAGGCGGGTAGGTGCACGACAGTTTCTCGCAGCCAACCAGGTCGGGGTTTGACAGGAACCTGAGATGAAAAATGTTAGGGCTGTTAGGGCGTTACATGAGTCATGGGGTTCGGGTTATTATTTGAGAACTACAATAATTCATTAGGATATGACTGTAAGACTCCAAATGACAACTACTGGGTAACTGCTGCAGCTTCTTCTACGGTAGGGACGAGTCAAGCCACCCCTCTGACACTATGAGTTCCAGCAATCTCTCGAGGACTTCCGGGTCTATGAACCCGGAAGTGCTGTAGTCCGAACGAAAGGCCAGCATCCATGGCCGAACTACCGCAGGTGCATCCATGTCGATGGCATATGTCTTCCTCGATAACACTGTGTTTTAACACACAGCACGACAAAGCATTGAACTCAGTCAATGTCAAGGCGATGCTGGCACTTCACTGTCACAATAATTACTAGATCTCTGAGCTGCGGACTCGGGGTCCGGGGGACAGAAGTCATCAAGCCACGAAGCGAAACCCATCAGAGCATCCTCGCACAACACCAACAAACACGAAATCAGTCCTCATGATCTTTAAACATGCTCTGGCCTGGTCGGGATATTTCTGTGCGAGGTACTGGTCTGGAGATCCGGCTGGCATGACTGTCTTGTGAAGCCTGCAGAACAGTCAGTGGCAATGAGGACATGAACAAACTTCTTTCGTTGTCACAACACATAATGAGAGAATTGAATGAACAGCTTCCTAAGTGTGTCAAACTATGGAAGCCACGGAACCACTCCGAGATCTTTGCCATCTCCGGAAACGGACAGGTGCTAGCAGCAGCAGTTTTGGCATTCTTAGCCGAACCACCACCGCCACTGCCACCAGACTTTCTTTTGCTGGGCGGCATGGCTTCTGGATGCTTCAGGTGGGGACACTACCAGTCGACTGGCACAAGACCTCTAGCCGAAGTGTAACTGTGTTCGGCTCGCAACAACCGGCTGGCTGTATCACTGAAAGCTGACCACTGACTGCAACGTTGAAAAGTAAAAGGCATCTGGTGCACAGATCTTAAGTGTCATTTTTCAGACCTGGCGCCTTGGATCCTCGAGTTTGCCTGCCGTGGCTCAGAATAGCCGACCCAAGCCTGTCGCTACGAGGAGCTGTCGGGGGCCTGCCTCCTGGGGTTTTAGCTTCAGGGTCTAAAGTTTCAACGGAACCGCCACAAAGCCTGGAGCCGACCTGTCTGAACCCCAGAGCTAATCCAGCTTCAAGACGATTCTACATGCAATGCGTCACATTCGCAATGCTTCTTTTAATCTTTGAGGATGATGGCTAAATCTACTTCGAAGGCCAACACAACACAACACAACGTATCGAAAGATTCTGAAATACCTTTGAACGGAGGTTTGCTCGCTCATGAATCCTCGAAACCTGCAGCATCCAACCTAACCCTTAGGAAGCCTTGGCCCAACAACTCTACACCCCAAGCCTTGGAACACCAGAAAGCAAATCCTACGGAATCTTCATACCGAAGTCTGAACAGCTTGGAAGTAATAAATGTATGACAATGTATTATACTGTATAATTAATCTAAGGGCCTAAATTTAAATGAACAAGACCATCAGTCTTCAACACCAGGACATGGGTCCCGGAGTCAACGCCTGTCGTGCATCAACCCACTCCGAACCCGCAAAAAACGCGAATACTCCGTCACAACAATCGGAATCTGACTAAAGAAACCCAGGAACAAATACCCCTGACTGTCTAACCTTTATTTAACCCGCCGTGTCTAACACATAGAAACTCCAAATAGATGCCAAACACCTAGTACCTGGACAAGAATGGACCCTCTGGCTCCTACATTGTTTCTGGAGACGGCCGAAAGGATTATTTTTTGGGAAATAGGTTTGGTGTTCCATGGTGCTCAAAGGATCCCGGGAGGTCATGTTAAAATCGGAAGATGATCCATCATAACGGGCTCGACACAAAGCTTTGACACTGAGAACATGACGTTTCATGTCCGTTGCGCACGATGCAATGCGGAACCCATACAAGACGCGCAACTTGCACGCTGTAGGTATGCCAGCACAGTTACAGTTCTGGAAGCAGACGAATATTCAATCCGAGATGCAGATAGCTAGCGGTGCACAAGCATCCTTACAAGCGTCTGTTTCACGAAAAACAAGAAGTCAATCTAGGTACCGGCTGACCTAGGTAGTATGATGTTAAACAGCAGGCAGATCCCACGGCACCTTGAACCCCAGCAAACGCATGCCCCACACGTGTCAACAACCATCATGCTCGTCGTCCTGAGTCGTCCTGCTTTGATCTTGCAGAGCGTGCGGCAACATGCAAAACGTTCAAGGCAGCATGCGATGTCGTGCCATCTTTCGCGTCCGGGTCGTGCAGCATTGACCACCAGGAAACAAATCACCTCTTCAAGCGTCGTCTCTCTCTCTCTCTCTCTCTATCTTTCTCTCTATCTCTCTCTCTCTCTCTCTCTCTCTGCCTCTCTATCTATCTATCTCTCTCTCTCTCTCTCTCTCCTTGTCTCACTCTCTGCCTGCCTCTCTCTCTCTCTCTCTCTCTCGCTCTCTCTCTCTCTCTCTCTCTCTCTCTCTCTCTCTCTCTCTCTCTCTCTCTCTCTCTCTCTCTCTCTCTCTCTCTCTCTCTCTCTCTCTCTCTTCGCTTTCTCTAACTCTGGTTCGACGAGAAGCAGCGGGGAGCGTATTCAAACAGCACCCTCCCTCCCTCTCCCTCCCTCTCTCTCTCTCTCTCTCTCTCTCTCTCTCTCTCTCTCTGTATCTCTCTCCCTCTTTCCCTCTCTAAGACACTTAGTCTCTCGTCTCAAGGAATTATCCTAGTCTTCACACCTTGAAGTTCCTGCTTCGTCAGCAACCACCGAAAATAACTGCTTAGCTTCATAATAATATCTGAATGCAAGAATACATGACAGGACTTTTAAATGGTTTCAGCATAATTATTTAATGCTTGGACAACTGCTACACAACTTCGGGGATGATTCCGTCCCTTACCATCATGTGTAGAGTGAACTTCGCGAAGAGCACTACGCTTTTAGTCGTTGAACCCCAAACCCCCTAGCCAGGATAGCCGCGTGCCAAGACGCAAGACGAAACAATCAAAAGCCGCGTGCCACGACGCAAGCACAAACAATCAAACGGCCGACAACTACCGGTTTCCATGACTTGTCACCCAAAGCGACTAAGCACTCCAACTCATGATAGAATTATACGGTAATCGTAACAGTCCACAGCCCACCACAACACATTACGCGCCGGGCCAATTCAATGTGCGTCAAGAACCGTCATGTCAATTTGCTTCGTCGTGCCTTCATCATATAGACGGTGCAACCACGCAGGCAAGCTCACGGATTATGCCACAGGTAGAAAGTGTTCGCCCTTGGACTTGGATTGGTCAATCCAAGAACCGCCTCGTCAATCGTCGTTTCTGTTCTCTCTCTCTCTCTCTCTCTCTCTCTCTCTCTCTCTCTCTCTGGCGCTGTATCTGTCTCTGCATCTCTTTCCCTCTTCCCTCTCTCTCTCTTTATCTATCTCTATCTCATTCTATCCCTCCCTGATGTCTCTCTCTATCTCTCTCTATCTCTCTGTATTTCTCTTTCTCTCTCTCTCAGCTCCGTCTCTGCCTCTGGCTCCGTTTCTCTCTCCCTCTATCTTTCTTTCAGAACCGCTCCCTCTCTAACTATCTCTTTCGGAGGCAGTCGACGCGTCTCTTGGTCTTGTCTAAGGGCATGATCCTACTTGTCATGCATCACTACTTGCCAGGACTTACGTAGCAGTAAATCATGTCGGCTGTATGTTCTGGGGTATGACTTCGGGTATGACCGCTTCAAAGATCCTGCGACGTTGCCTACCCCTATAGTATAAAGTCAGCCTTCAAACTTCCCCAAACCCCTACCCAATAGCCTATTCCTCGAAGTGAAGCCCTAAACCCTCGCCCGGAAACGAGCCTGCCAATACGGAAGACCAAACAACGGAGGACCCAGAATAGGATGACATCTCACCCCAAACCAAACTCTTAGTCTTGTGAAAGATGCAGGGCTAATTGTCGCACCTGGAGCTTTCACATGTCAACAGTCCAGTGGGTAAATGTAAATTCTACGGAAAACCGTGATTGTAGGAAGAACATTGATCCAGCCGAACAGGATCCGCATA